AGGGTCAAAATTGTGTTAACGTATCAAAAGGTTGAGTTATGTATATATTTTAAAAATCATAAGAGGGTTATATGATAAAACATTAAATTATAAGAGAGATGTATGGTAAAACATAAACCATACGGGGTTAGAGTATCATGCATATTATGTTTATATATTTTGATCATTTCAACCATTTTAGTTTCTAAATAAAGGTAATTTCGACATTTTGATGGGTTTCGTTACAAATAATCATATTCATTATTTTAATAAGTTAATCCAAACTATGAGGGAATTGTATATAACTTTTAAAACTATAGGGAAATTGTGTAAAAGATTACTAAATTACAAAGGAGTAAAGAGTATTTTGCCCTTATTTTTATGTTAACAAGTTTTTGGTCATATCACATAATATAAATCTAAATTAAGCGGAAATTAACACACACACACACCTATAATTAGACTAAACACACTGGAGTTAACGGAGAAATCGCTCCGAAAGCAATATAAGGGGGACCCACAAAGAACCCACGTTCAGCCAATTTGTGACAGAACGAGACCCCTATGGACTTTAAACCCAGAATAAAGACCCCACGATCTTCCGATGTGGGATGGTTGCCCAATCCCCCCCCCTTCGGTGCACGCACCCTCACTACAAGAATGAGTTTGTTTTTTCCCGAAGCGGGAATCAACACACACACACACCTATAATTAGACTAAACACACAGGAGTTAACGGAGAAATCGGCCCGAAAGCAATCTAAGGGGAACCCACAAAAAATTCACGTTCAGCCAATTGATGACAAAATGAGATCCTTATGAAAATTAAATCCAGAGTAACGACCCCACGATCTTCCGACGTGAGATGGTAATTAGGTTTTGTTTGGATTGGGTTTTATTTCCCCAAATTTATTTGCTTACATCATCATTACAATTTTTAATACACCTTTTTACCTTTTCAATTATCTTTTTATCTCACATACATCACATCACAAAAAGTGCTACAGTAAAAATATCTTTAATAATTCACAATCCAAACAGATGCTCAAAAGCCATCATTTAGCTCTAGCTCTACCCCACTACAGGGACGAAAGTAACTCGGTCATAAGGGCCAGAACTATATGTTAACGTGTCAAAAGGTTGAAAGGGATCTTGCTCGTTCTACAAGGATCCCGCTCGATCTCGAATTCTCGATCCACTAGTTTTTTCCTGTAAGAGACTGAAATGACACCATTATGAGACCATCGTATCTACGTGGCTATATTAAAAGGCCGCACCTATCAAAGTCAAAAAAGAAAACAGGGCATTTTCTTCTCTGGATTTCGATAGGGAAATATGGCGGTAGAAAGACTGTTTCCCATTTAGTAATCCAATTGACCTGGTGACCTTCAAAATCATGTTCAAAAGAAATTATGAAACATAATCCTTCACCCTTTCTTTTTCTTTCTCTACGATTTTATAGAATTTTTGCCTTTTTTTTTTTAAGTTGATGCTAACCTCTTCTACATCCCACTTGGTCAGTATTGCACATTGCAATTTGCATCCATCCATTCTTGAAATATTTCAAGAGATTTAAAACAGTTCTTGAAGGGGATATCCAATGGTTATTTTCTCCTCTTTGTAGTGGTTTGTCTCCCTCTAATAAACTGAACCAAATCAATTGTTTTTAGCAGAATTTGCACTATGGACCTTTTCACGTATGACTCAAATGCAGGTAGCGATATTGGTTTCTAAATACAATTGACTCATTCTAGATTTGTCTAGACATAAACATTCAGACAACAAATATATTTTGTCATGTACAAAACCTTGAAAATAGATCAGATTATACAATTGAACTTATTCAGTTAAAAAAAAAAAAAAAAAATCCCAAGTGTCTTAGTTTTTGCCTTTTAGGACTCTAATAAAGAACTTGAAATGCCCAGTAGGGTTCATGATCCATGTGCACAAATAATTGCAATTGTTGGCTGTGGACACTGTTCATTATGAAATTCCTATGTAGATTATTAATCTTTGCTTTCTTTGTGCCTATGATGCCAAATGATTGCAGTTGTTTGCAATGACGGAGCCAGGGGGCAGAGGGGGCCATGGCCCCCCCTAAGTTTTGAGAATTTTAATTCATAATATGTAAATATGTGTGTAAAATAAAATTGGCCCCCCCTAAATTTTTTCAATTTTAGTTTATATTATGAGAGTTGATATATATATATATATATATGAATTAGTCATCTTTGAATGGAATTTCAATTTTGGCCCTCCCAAAAAAAAAATCCTGGCTCCGTCACTGATTGATTGTTAAACCCATTTAGAATATGCCTGTCTCATTTGAATTGCAACTTTTTTAGAATATTTTTTTTTGATACATTCTTCTACTAGTATCTTTTTACGTCGCATACTCACGTCACTACAGTCAATATTTTTCAACAATGTCACTCAAAAACTCCCATCCAAACTGGTTCTTCTTATACTTACATTCCTTATGAGGTTTTCATATTACACAATAATCAAAGTGTGTAATAGATGGTATGTGCATTGAACCTTATTACCTAATCTCGTGTTATTGGATGAATTTATTTTATTTTGGCGGGCTAGTTATAACTTGTGCAAGACTTTAGAGTTGAGTGTAAAGCATTTTCAACCTTCTTTCACGATCATACGAGAAATGTTTACCATTCAATCACGTAGAAAATTTCCTCCATAAGCAATTCAGAGTTGGTCTCTAATCTATGTTGAAAAAGGTGCCCGATTGGCCTCCATATTGACTTTCGTTCGCTCTCTCGAACGAATTGAATGGAGGATGCTGAGCCCCGGTGAACATTTACAGGTGAACGGAAGGATTTATAATTGGAGATTTGCACGAATAATTAATCGCAGCTGGAGAATGAGAAAAGATACAGAGAGGACAGATTTCCCTTCTTGTCATCCATCACTGATACTTGTCTTACTAGTTTCGAACGGGTCCAAACATTGACATACGGTACTAACTGCTAACAGCTAAAGGCCGGGATATATCAGCTTGCTATCTCAAAGAAATATCAGCTTCAGTTAACATCAACACAAGGTTGCAGATTTCAACCTCTACTTCAGCATTACAGCACCTGCTGGAACTGTTTCATTGAAAGTTAAAACCTTTCTTATTGAGGAAAAAATCATAAGTGCAAGCTAAAAATACTCAATTATTTTTAACACGACATGTTTACACCTAGAGGGTTTTTTTTTTTCTCTAATAAGTGAGAGGTTTTGAATTCAGAACTTTCTATATACAATGCCTCTCAACTTACTACCCAACTAAACCCTCTCCCTCCAAGTTGCATCTCTTCAACTTCACATAAAGAGTGCTTAACTACAAAAAACCTATGAGGGAAACTACTATTCCAATTACTGTTCTGTTGTTTCACTCCAGTTTGTGAAATCATTAATTGTGATTTCTCTCCGTATTTCGGATAATTATGTGATTGTTCATAATCACCAATATATGGTTGTCGTTTCAAAATCACATATCTAAACCTAATCATTATTGTAGGGTAAAATAACTTTAAAAAGACAAGTCATAGCAATTTCAGCAAATAGATGGCAGATTTTGTACAAGTTAGAAAGAGTGATCTCACCTATTACATATATACTATGTTATATGACCAGATCAAGTCAAAAAAAGAAAAAATTAGAAAAGGGCTTTTCTTGTTTTCCAAGTAATTAGCGCAACAAGTCAAGTAGCTCCCTCATGTCTTCCTAATCCAAGCAGCAAGGATGAAGTATACTGGACTACACATGCCTCTGGCTCTGATTGGTTCACTATTAAATCAGCCATGATGGCAGTGACTAGAACCAAGGGGGACAAGGTGGGTTGGTTTAAACTTGTGTGAGGAAAAGGTGCATTTCAACGTTACTTTTTCATTGTTTGGCTATTATGCAAAAGGAAGCTGTCCAGAAAAGACAGACTTACGGCTTGGGGAATTCATATGGCTTATGACCTCTGTGAGCTTTGTAAAGGAGAAGTTGAAACCATGGATCACATATTTTTTGATTGCCCAGTATCAAGCATAGTATGGCAAAAGGTGTAAAATTTTCCCTGTTGAAATGGATGTGTGATCATTGTAGCTCAAACTCTTTTACGGACCAGGTGAGGAGACTTGTGCTTTTGCAGTTTGCTAGCGTAGTGTATCAATTGTGGTGAGCAAGAAACCAAGCTATTTTTCAGCAAGTTTCGTTATTTGCTGTCAGCATTATTTCTCCTGTCCTTGATTCTGTGAGAGATGCAGTTGCAAGCTGGAGACGCATGCCTTTTAACTACGCAAAACTGGGACTTGGCTGTGGCGCTGGGGCTACATAATGTGTGTTTCAGTAGATAAGTATTCTGGTTAACAGATGATTGTGGCATCATTTTGTGTAATAGTTATAGTGCTAGCTGCTTACATAGTTGGAATGAGTACATTCCTTTGCGTACACGTTCATTGCTGATCAATAAAGATTCAGTCTTGCTTACAAAAAAAAAAAAAAGGCTGACCATATTTCCATAATTGACAGGCTGACATTCTCTGAAAAAGAAAAAGGGAAACCGAAAGGCAAAAACATGGCAAAGAAGTATAGTAGTGGCGGGACATTTTTGTCAATAAAGTCAACCCAAAACCTTGCTTGATCCTTCTTGCAAGGATCAGATGGTAACAATGGGGTCTCATCCTGCCATGCCTCACCTATTTATTGGAGAATTGCAAGGGACTCAACTATCGGTTTTCCATTGTGAATCAAAACCGGGACTTTTTGTGAATGGGGTTCATCTCAAGGAGAAGAGGGCTTTTGTTGGGCAATTCTTCTTCTTTTGAGATCATACTTGATATCCTTCTCAGCCTGTGCTATATATTTTGACCCTCATGCAGAACATGCTAGCATAGGCATCCAAGAAAACCACTTCTTCACAATTGTCCTCTAAATTTGTGGAAGAAATAATATACATATAAACAGCAGCATATCCATGAAATCCTAGTAGTAGTAGTAGTAAACATCATTTACTACCAGTCCAGGATATCAGGAAGACGACGCTAAGTCTCTTTTATTCTCACAAGCCAAGCAAACAAAACTAAAGGATTCTAAGACAGATCTACGAAGCCCAAAAAAGACAAAGCAATCCCAAATACATATTCATGCGTAGACTTTTATTCGATCCCCCATTTAGCCAAAAAAGTTGAAAGAGACTTTATTCGATCCCAAGCTTCTTCTTCAAGGACACAACAAATTCATAAATCTTGTGAGGATCAGCAAGAGACTTGGACACAGTCTCCCTCTGCATGCATCTTTTGGCCCATTCCACCAGCTTTGGACACTCAATCTTGAAATTCCCACATGTCTCATAGGCATAAAACCAATTGTAGAAAGGAATTAAGGCCACATCCACATATCCGAAGTCTTCCCCTCCAAAGTAAGCCTTGTCTCCCAGTTCTCCTTCCAGCATTTTCACAGTCCCTATGAGTTCCTTTTTGGCTGCCTCCTGTTCCTCTCCCTTTGTGGCCCAAAGCCTCCATCCAGCATCATAAAGCTGCATTTCACCTTAATTATCCCAAAAAATTGAACCCAAAAAAAAATAAAATCTCTCATTAACATAATACTTTTATCCCATATTTAATTTGTCATGCTTAGTTATGTTGTTTGCCTAAACTAATCTAGTGGAAAAAAGGTTAAGGAATGCTTAGTTCCATGACTAGACGATCTTGGTAAAGACAGTGGAAATACTTGCCCGAATAACTGATTGAATATATAGCAGTTGACAAAATTAGAGTTCCCATAAGAAAAAAAATGTTACCACCTTTTTGTCAACGAAGTCAGCCCAGAACCTGGCTTGAGCTCTCCGGTAAGGATCAGATGGGAGCACGGGATTCTTGTCATGCCACACTTCATCTATGTACTGAACAATGATAAGGGACTCGCAAACAGGCTTTCCGTTATGAATCAGAACTGGGATTTTCTTGTGAACAGGGTTCATCTCAAGAAGAAGTGGGCTCTTGTCAGCCAAGTTTTCTTCTTTGTATTCATACTCGATGCCTTTCTCGGCCAGGGCTATTCGGACCCTCATGCCAAACGCGCTCACATGTGTATCCAACAGAACCACCTTGTCGCCGGCCATCTTTTCAGATGATATTCGACAAAATTAAAAGAGAAAGGATTTTTGCTATAGGCGTCGAGAAAAGAAAGCAGAATGATGGGCAAATGGTGGTAGGATAAGAGCCGGGGTCTTGCATTTATAGTAAATAAATCCGAGGTTGGTGATGGTAGGATTGATGCTACGCAAGCAGTAGATTCTGGGAACATTTGGGGCTCCACAGTCCACCCTGCAGCAATTTAGGCAAGAAGTCAAAATGCAGTGGTTTCTTTTCCACGTGTTATGAAAAAAATTAGTTTTTTTTTTTTGGTTGACTCTATAATTTTTTTTAAAAAATTTCTAGAAAGGCACCTTAGGAATTTATAACATATACTAGCACCTTTTGTTTGTTTTGAAAAACAAGCAAAAGAGAGCAGAAAACTGAACGCTGTCCCTCATGTCTAGGTAGGAGAGGATTGTAGGACGCTCGTACTCAACAATTACTAAAATATTCTTTGGTCTCAGGATTTTCGTCTTGTTTGTTTTCTTGTTCCTAATCACACACATAATTTGACAAAGTTTGTAGTCCTAATTCCACAAATAACTGCTTCATTAATAAATCTGAAGATTCTGGTAATTAATTGTGTAAGTAAATTATTGCCTATTACTCTCCTTTTCAACAAATTCAGGGGCCTGATGGAAATTAAAGGGCTAAATATTAGTATTTAATACACTGACTAATAACTAAATGATCCATAGAAAGGGTCAAAGACCACTTTTTTCTTCATTGTCTATGCAGTAGATCCTGCTGCTCCCTATTTGGTTCCCAACATTTTGCTATGTGCTTACGCACATTCTTCAGAAATTTGACGTCACTCCTTAAGTAATCACATTCAACCTTTTTATCTCTCTCTTTTTCCTTTTTTGTTTATATATATATATATGTATGTATATATGTATGTATATATGTATAAAGAGAGTGAAATACTATTACTATGAGGCTATCAGATTTATGTTGCTATGTTAAAAGGGCTGCACCTAACGAAGCCAAAAAAAAAAAAGAAAATATTTTCATCTCTAGATTTCGATAGGGAAATTTGGTGGTACAAGAAACTGTTTCCCATTTAATAATACAATTAAAATAGTGAGCTGCAAAATCATGTTCAAAGAAAAATGAAACATAATCCTTCACCCTTTCTCTCCTTTCTCTACGATTTTATAGAATTTTTGCCTTTTTTTTTTTAAAGTTGATGCTAACCTCTTCTACATCCCACTTGATCAGTATTGCACATTACAATTTGCATCCATCCATTCTTGTTATAATTCAAGAGAGTTACAACAGTTCTTGAAGGGGATATCCAATGGCTACTTTCTCCTCTTTGTAGTGGTTTGTCTCCAAGATCTCCCTCTCTTACGAACTGGACCAAATCAATTGTTTTTAACAGACTTAGCGTAGCAAGTCAACTAACAAAACAAGTTGAGTTTTTTTTTTTTTTGGTTTTTGTCACAACTGAGGAATATGAAGCATTACCTCCTAATTTTTGTTAGATTTAAATTTGGCATGCGTAAATAGAAATTAAATGATCTCAACATGCACTTGATTTTGATATAAAATCTTACTTTTCCAATTTTGATCTGAAAATTCTCGTGTTAAAAATCAAGTTAAAAATTCTTTTTTTTTCAATTTAAGTAAAGTACATCGAATTTGAAATTTCTCATTCACACTTCTTCCTCCTCCCTGGCACCTAACTCAAAAAAGATCCAATTTTTCTTTTTTTTTTTTTTCCTTTTGAAGCAGCACCAGCTCGTTTGTTGCATTCTTTACTGTCAGAAAACTACAAAAGGAGCTTCAAAGAACGCAACAAGGTCCGATTGGCTAATTCAGAAGCCAATACAAGCAGCAAAAAATCTACCATTCGAACCAAACCAAAGCAAAGTGTCCTTCCCACAGGCAACACTCTCCGATTGGTGGTCTTTTTGGTTAGTCGTTACTCGTTCCTCTGAGCAAATATAAAAAAGAAAAAGCCCATTGGCCTTTTTTCCTCCCTTATTACTTCACTTGGGACTGTTAGTTTCTTCTTGTGATTCTCGTTTTTCAGTGACCCCCTCTCTCTCAAGATGGCAGATCCACCCAAAAAAGCACTCAGCAGCGGGGTGGTAACCTACGCTTACATTCTTCTTTATATTGCACTTTCCAGCGGCCAGATCTTCTTCAATAAGGTCCAACCCTCTTCTTGATTCTTATATATATACACATTAATTGACTGATTATATGTTCCTGCATTACTTTTCTTTTTTCTTTTTTTTTGTTGGGGGGGGGGGGTGGTATGTGTGCTTATGGATTGCCTCGGAGAACTTTAGAAAGCTTAATGGGGAAATGGGTTTCTGGGAATTTAAATATCTGATTGAAAGTGAAAAAGGTTGTCGTTAATTTCGACAATTAACTTGTTCAGATGAAGAAAATGTGGCATCAGTTTATTAACATGTTGTTAAGTGGGACTATATCAGTGTTATTAGAAGACCTTGGGAGGAGAATATTATCCTGGATTTTTTTTTTGGCCCGGGAATATTCAGGAATTGGTGTTGTTAGAAACAATTTAGCAATGCTAATGAATTTTATGCTTTCTGATCTTTCGGGTGCTCGTGGGATAGCTTTAAAGTTTGTCATGTGTCAGACTATTGGGGTAGGTGAAGTGAATTGCTTTCCGGAAGCTAGTGATGATATATAAATAATCTCTGCTTTCGTGCCATATAGGCATTCTTGTGGAAATATAGCCTAATAGGGTGACATGGTTACTTCATTGACGACTGACCTAAGGATGTATCTAAGCATTGTTATGAATGAGCATAGAAGTTTCTTGCAGCAGATCGTGTACAATAATATCTACATGCGCGAGTGGTGTTGCAGCTGGACACTATGAAAATGTGGCTTTCAGAAGACTTATTGGACGAATTGTTGTTGTTTTCTTAGGTTCTAAATTTCTAGGAGATTATATTAGCAGTGTTGCTTTGCTGCATTTTTAAGTAGTCTGAGAGTTTCGTTTCATTTGTATTGATCATCCAACAAAAATTTTGTGCAATGCAGTGGGTTTTATCCTCAAAGGAAATAAACTTCCCATATCCCCTTGGATTGACTCTGCTTCACATGGTCTTCTCCTCTATCTTATGCTTCGTGCTTACAAAAGTTCTCAAGGTATGTAAGTCAATAAAAACAGAAGTGTGGGCTTTATCATCTGGATGCTTTACATCAGTTCCTGTCCTTCTACATATTGTAACTTGAATGCTATATGTTCTTGTAGATTATGAGAGTTGAGGAAGGGATGACTCTTGAAATGTGAGTATTTTCTTATTCAATATTTGAAATAAATGGGCTGCTTCGCCCCCTTTCCTGTAAGACCCAAGTCCTTCTGGACAATGAATCCTAACAAAGGAGATTGTGTACATAAAATGTCCTTTTTGATCTCCTTCCCTCTCCAACCTCGAGATATATGATCATATCTTTGTGATAATTTTGTATTTGTATGGATCTTGACCACATCATCTTTTCCCAGCAATTAGTTGACCATTTAGTTTACTTCTTTGCTAATCTGGTTATGACAATTTCTTGTCCACTTTGGGCTCTGCAGATATCTTACATCCGTCGTACCTATTGGTGCAATGTTCGCTATGACACTTTGGCTGGGAAACACTGCTTACCTTTATATATCTGTTGCATTTGCTCAGATGTTGAAAGCAATCAGTAAGTATCACATACTCTTAGTGATTTTATATATAGGCTTTGAGATATATCTTATAGTAACCAATTCATATGGTTAGGGTGTTTAAACCCTTGCCAAGTATTCATGCCCGATATCATTCTTTGTTGCCAGAGATTGAGCAGTCTTATAGCCCGAATCATGCGGTCATAAATTACTTCCCTACTTTTTGGTAATGATATTGTTATACACAACTGTTCTTATATCTGCAGTGCCGGTTGCTGTTTTCATTCTTGGTGTGGCAGCAGGACTGGAAATGATGAGTTGTCGTATGCTTCTGATTATGTCAGTAATCAGTTTTGGTGTATTAGTCGCTTCTTACGGTGAAATAGATATCAACTGGGTTGGTGTTGTTTATCAAATGGGAGGTGTTGTTGGAGAGGCTTTGAGGCTTATATTCATGGAGATTCTGGTGAAAAGGAAGGGTATCAAACTAAATCCGATATCAGTTATGTACTATGTCAGCCCATGCAGGCATGTATTTGTAACCAAAGGATCTATGAACCATGATTGTTTAATTGTTCGGCCCTAGACTAATATGCTGCCAATTTAACAAAGAACTCGGTTTCCTGTGCAGTGCTCTTTGTCTCTTGATTCCCTGGATATTTTTAGAGAAGCCGAAGATGGACGATCAGGGGACGTGGAACTTCCCACCTCTTATATTGACTCTTAATTCTCTCTGTACCTTTGCTCTCAATCTCTCAGTGTTTCTCGTCATCTCGCATACAAGTGCTCTTACTATCCGTGTGGCTGGTGTTGTCAAAGATTGGGTGGTTGTCCTACTATCTGCAATTCTTTTTGCAGATACAAAGCTAACGCTCATCAACCTGTTTGGTTATGCCATTGGTAATTTTCTGAAATCTAGTTTTCACAATTTCTAAGAAGATTTAGCTTCAGATGATTGTGCCAGATATGCTTTTACCCATAAGGTTATCTGTATATGCTGAAGTTGTGCAATTCTTGTCATTGCTTCTACATATATTTAACAATATCGGTGACGATATCATAACCATTGAGGTTTACTTTGAGGACATTGGTATGGGTCTGGAGCTGATTTTTATCCTCGTCAAACCTGCAAAATGTGTAGGAAGGCAGGCTTTTATGCCACTTGTCTAAGGACTCGTTGGCCATTTTGCTCTGCTGTTCAAACATACTCCTCCATGTGCTAACTTAGAAGAGTGAAAGATATCATTATTAACCTATTGGCTGTATGGGACTCCTTGCAGCTATTGCAGGTGTAGCTGCCTACAACAATCACAAGTTAAAAAAGGAAGCTACTCAAGTCAGCTCAAATGAGTCTCAACCACCTCAATTGCTTCCATCTGTGTCTTCCAATGACTGAATGGATATCAAGAGCAGCATGCAACTTACTGTGACAAGTGCAGTGTGGTTCCTTCTTCCATCTGGGCCAATGAGATCACACGAATTTTTTTCCGGGAGAAGCTACCGTGCTTTTTTGTGCTACTGGTGAAATGTAGACTGATCTATTCCGAATTTTGCAGCTGGTTAGGGGTCGCTGATTTTCTTGGCAGTCAGGACAAGAAGGACCAGAGGAAGTTGGTTGTGAGTTATAGTGTAAAGTTGGACGCATCCAACCTTAGTTTTTCACGTGAGAAGGTTGGACATACACGGACAATATGTTTCTCTGCTTAAATACTAGTAGACATTTTTCTCGTCTTTTTTCTTCCGACATTTGATACATTAGAAGTTCAAATATCATCTAATTTGTACTACAAGAACAGGCTGTTGTGAAAGACATGCATGATTCCTCTTCTTTTCTTGTATGGATTTAGATGTATTCTGGCCTTCGAATCCCAGTGGAGACATTGACTTTGATTAGGCGCTTGCAAATGTCTGTACCATCTACCAAGTAAAGTCTGCCTTCCACAAACGTCAGTCAACCAGACTAGCAAACAAAAAGAAAAGAAAAAATTCAGATGTCTTAGTCAGATAAGAGATAAGACTGATGTTGTGGCATATTCATTCATTGTACAAGTGCTTCTTGGTTTTTTGACGTCTTGTTGCCGGCACATGATTGAATGAAATTCAGTAGAATATCCATTGTAGTTTTCTGTGCGTAAGAACAGTATGGCAATTATGCTGCTTAATTGTTAAGGGTCTGTCTAACGGCTATTATAAGGCACTCATTAAAATAAAATATATTTTAGGTATTATATATTTAAAAATATAAATAAGTATAAGAGAGGATAGATAAAATTAACTAGTGAAGGTATATAAATGTAAGAAAAGGTGATAATTGTTAGTATATATACTTATATGGTAGATTAGGTGAATGTTAGATGAGTACTCAGTGGGCATTCGTTAGAAAAATCCAATTGTTAATTGTGCGACATGAAACCTTTATGATTTGTTTAAATTCTTTGCTTGATTACTCGCCAATTTTAGCCTACTCGATCTATTTGCTTATTCAATACAGATTTACGTACTTATTTTGTTCTAAGCATTTTTTTCTTTACTCAGTAGTTCTTCAATTGAGGTTTAAATGATTGTGATTTTGAGTTTTTTTTTTTAACTCAAATTAGGCAAATCACTACGAAATTATCACAAGGAGAAGGATCCAACAAGATACCAAAAAAAAAAAAAAAAAAGTTACCGTGCAAATTTGTTTCAATACTACGGCAATCAAAATCTTTTCTATTTTGATAATTTAAAATTTTACTGTATCATTTTCAGATGAGAATTCAAAATCTTATTTTTTTTTCTTTGTAAATAAAAGCAATTTGATGATTTATATCCACCTTAGTGCTTTTTCTATTTTGGGGTCAAAGATGTGAAGAGAAAAAAATTTAACCAAGTCCATTATAAATAATAATAAATACTAAAAAGAAATGAGATATTTTTGTGCCCCTGCCCCTAAATTGTTTATATTGGCCGCCTTTCTTTTTTGTAGTTTTAGTAATGGACCCATATTTTTAAGTGACCCAAAAATTTTCCCAAAAAAACTTCATAAAATTTCCCCAAAAGGGAGGCTTTAGTTTTGTGGGGACTGTTCCAGTTTCCTCCTCTCCTCCCGATACTTTCCCTTCTCCCCCAAAAAAACGAAAAATTCCGCCAATTTTTCATATACAATCCTCCATATCTCTGATAAATCACAATAAAACCCTAATTTCCCCAACTTCGTCACTACTCTTATAATCTCTTGTATAATTTTTTGTCTCCAATTTTCAGATAGAGAGAGTTTTTGAGTTTCGAGTTAAGAAGAAGGCAGCAGGCTATGCGATCGCGGTGGGGCGAGGTGGCGCAAACCGATGTGGCGGCGGCGGGAGTGGAAAAACTGGAGGAATCAGGTCGTTAATGGCCGTACTGCAAATGACGTGGCAGCCGAGCTCCCTCAATCAAAAACGCAAGTCTGGTCCACCTCTAGGGCTTAAAAACCTCGGCAACACTTGCTATCTTAACTCCGTTCTTCAGTGCCTCACCTACACCCCTCCCCTCGCCAATTTTTGCCTGAAGTACCAGCACTCCTCTTCTTGTGAGTGACTCCACGCATCTATGTACTTATTCCTTTGTGTATTTTCGTCAACATCGACCAGGAAGCTAGGTCGAAGTGAGTTATTGTGTTTTCTTACCAGTATTTGTATGATTGCGTGTAATTTTGTTGCAGTTTCAGGAATTTTGAATCTTGTGCATGTCTGTGCGAGTTTGACCTGCCAATTCTATTGACTTGAATTTGTGTGATATGTTACAAATTTAAGAACTTTCTGTTATGTATGAGATTAAATGTGTCAATTATGTGTACATATTTTTGAATTCGAGCTGGAATTGTGCTTAGTTGTATTCTTGTGGTTCCGTGGTTAGTTTTTTGTGTAGTTATGTGTGATATCAGAAAGTTATTGAATTTATGTCTATTTATGATTCTGTGTTAATTATGTTATATTTCTTTTGAACATGAGTCCTGTATCATTTAACTTGAGTTCTTGTGCTTTGTAGCATATTTCTAATAATGTGTTATTTGCTGACAACTTAAGAAAGTACATCTAGGTAGATTTTTATGATTATGTCTATAATTCTTCATGTTTGACAGCGTTGAGTTGATTTTTTTTTTTTTTGTGTGCGTTTTGTTAGCAATTTCAGGATTCATGTTTATGTATGATTTGCGCGGCTCAATTTGACTTGGGTGTGTTTTTTTTGGGGAATATGTAGGTGATGCAGCTGGGGTAGCATCGGACAAAAAGAGAGAGTGTCCATTTTGTATATTAGAGAAAAGGATTGTAAGGTCCCTGAGTATAGATTCAACTTTAGATTCACCATTGAAAATAAATAACTGTTTGAGACTTTTTGCTGAGCATTTTAAACATGGAAGGCAAGAGGATGCACATGAATTTTTGCGATATGTGATTGATGCTTGTCATAATACATGTTTGAGATTGAAAAAACTGCAGTTGCAGCGAAGGAAAGGTGGGAGTTGTGGGGAGAGTGGTAATGGAAATACCATAGTGAAAGAGATATTTGGAGGTGCTCTGCAGAGCCAAGTAAAGTGTTTGTCCTGTGGGGCAGAGTCAAATAAGGTGGACGATATCATGGATATCAGCCTCGATATCTTACATAGTGGGTCTCTCAAAGATGCTTTGCAGAGGTTTTTCCAGCCTGAGATTTTGGATGGTGGCAACAAGTACAAGTGTGATAGGTAAGTACTTTCATTTTCGTTTCATCAGTTGTGGATATTTGTGCATGCACAATGCACTTTCATTTACTAGATTGTGGGTTGAGGGCTTGTTTTTGTTTAGTTGTAAGAAATTGGTGGCAGCACGGAAGCAAATGTCTATACTTCAAGCACCAAATGTTCTTGTAATCCAGCTAAAGGTAGGATATTATCTTGTCTCTTGTCTTTTGGGCATTTCAGTAATAGATGTGTGCTTTTTTGTGACTAATGTTACTTTTCTTAAAATGGCACAGAGGTTTGAGGGTATTTTTGGTGGGAAGGTCGACAAGCCAATAGCTTTTGAGGAGGTTTTAGTGCTTTCCAGCTACATGTACAAAGGAAGCCAGGTGTGTTTTCTCTTCATTGATGATTTAAAGGATCTTAATAATGTCGGTGGAGTCTGGCAACGTGTGGCGCATTGGCGAAAAACATAAGCTGAGTGTTTCACAATCACGTGCCATTACGCGTTAATTAGGCTGGCGAAAGTCATAGGATGAAATGATAAACCTCCACGTTGGCAATAGTGATTTACCGGCATGCAACTCACTAATGAGCCTCCCCCCCTCCCAATAAAAAAGCAATCAAAGAGAGACAACAGTAAAAATTAGGGGTGTATTCGCGTTGAGTCGAACTCGAATTCGATGTAATTTAGCACTACTCCAGCTCGAGCTCGAGCTTGAGCTTGAATGAGCATACTAACCAAGCTCAAGCTCGACTTGCTCATATTTGTTACCAACTCGAACTCAACTTGTTTGGACTCATAAATAATTCGAGCTTATTCAAGCTTGAATACTCAATATCCAAATTACAGTAGCATAATCAAAAACCAATTTCCAAAATTCCAACAAATTTCAAAATCAGTTTATATTTTCCACAAAAAAAAAAAAAAAGATTCAACCCAAGTACAAATCAACAATCTGGTGTTTCATAATCTTAAAAGCACCAAATGAAACAAGAAAAAATTACTTGAATAAAATGCAGCTTTTTAATCTTAACGTCACAAAGTGAAACAGGAAAAAATGCCAAGAATAGAAAAACATGGCATTTGCCATGGAGAGTACTTATTTGAACCCTTGATTGCCCAATCTTCCTTGTCTGAGCCCAACTTGAAATCCCAAAATTAGTTTGAACTTCCATGAGTGAAGCAACAATTGAGAGACGATGAAGAGAAAGAGAAGGCTAGAGAGTGGGACGGTGGTCTTTTAATTTTCTGTTGTTTAGGCCCTGAGGAGAGCAGTAGAAAGGGAGAGCGAGAGGGAGAGGGAGAGGTAGAGCGATGAATGTTTGGCTGAGAGAGAGTGGCAAAGACAGACAGAGATGGAGAATGGCAGAGAGATGAAGAAATGGAAAAAAGGGATAGATAGGATTGTTTGACTATTTAGGTAGGGTTTTTAATTTTTTACTATATTTATTAGTCTGCCCCCGGAATTATTGTTTTAAAGAATGACATTTTATTAATTTTTGAATAATTCTTTTCTTTATATGTGTAATTCCATTCTGATATAGTAATTAGATATGCTACTTGATTAAGCTCATCGAGTACTAGAACATGGCATTATAATGCTCGAACTCAACTCTAACTCAGTCAACACTGAGTCGAGTTGATCGGGTGACTTTGCACCCCTAAGTAGAATAAAATCCATCGTCTTTAGATTATGCTCCCAAGGTGGACACCCAGCCTTGTCCTTCCATGCCACAAGGTGGACAAATTTCACTGGCATATTCTGGTTCTAGGATCATTACCTCAGATTAGTCTGGAGTTCTGTTTGATGATCTTCTTGCCAGAAAGCCTAGAACAAGTGGATGAGGCTAGTGAGGTTGGAAATGTAGCCATGGTTGATCTTCTCTAACAAAGAACAAGCAGCTTATTTATAATTTCAAACAGTTTTGTTCTAAGTTCCTCTCAGTAGGGAAGAGAACACATGGTCCAAAAAATCAATTTAGCCCATCCTTTTGATGGATGAGAATTGTTTTTGCAATGTTGAATTGGAGTCAAGGGACCTCAAAACCCATTGCCTTGCTGCTTTAAGTCGTGGTGGGTTGATGCTTTTGTTAAGTTTCTTTATTGGGGTTCTCATGCAGTCTGGGTCTGTGTAGTATTCTATGATGCAGAAACAGATGAACACACATTTTTTTTAATGCTTGTCAAAAGGACAATGCAGTTACGTTTACT